CGGTGGCAACGGAGACGAAGGGCGACGGCGACGGTGGCAACGGAAACGAAGGGCGACGGCGGTGGCAACGAAGACGGAGGAGACGACGATGAGAAGGAGACGGCGATGAGAAGGAGACAGCGATGAGAAGGATTGAAGCGATGAGAAGGATTGAAGCGATGAGAGGGAGACAGCGATGAAATCCACGGGAATGGATTTCAAATCCCGTGTAAGGGCGAAGGATTCTCAAATCCAGTGTTGGTGGGATTTCAAATGAATCCCGGGATTTGAAATCCGACCATTTCTACAAACCAAACGTAGGATTGGAATGGATTTCAAATCCAAATCCCTCCAAATCCCTCAAACCAAACGTGCCCTTAAATCATTCTATCAAAATAAACTCCCCTAAGTGTAACTGTTTGGGTATATAAAAGTCAAACCATGGGTCTAATGTTTGACTTTAAAATTCTAAGTGTAATGATTTGAATGATTTTAAAACCCTATTAAGTATAATGGTTTGAATGACTTTAAAACCCTAAGATATGTTTTTAATAAAATTTCGACCCCATAATGGCTTATAAAATAAATATTTTCACCAAAAAGCTTTAGGTTATAGTGAAGAAGATGATAAGAATTATAACGAAAATGATGATGGTTATAGTGATGATGAAATTGTTGATTCAAGTATAAAGTAAAGAAGTAGAATCGTTATATAAAGATCAAAAATTTCACCAGAAAGCTTTAGGGGCCGTTTACTAAACACTTATCCGGTAAGCGTTTACCGACAAAGTTTAACATTATCATTTACTTTTTGGGCAAGATTTTAGTCCACCAAAAGGGTATCGTATGCAACAATTTACCCGGTAAGCTCTTACCATGGTAAGAGTCGTCGCCCTCACTTACCGGATAAGACTCATGGTCCTTGTCTCACTCTTACTAGGTAAGATTCTTGATCCTTACAATATTCATCCGGTAAGGTAATGTGACTTGGTGTTCACTTACCCAAGTAAGCGTTTGGTAAACGACCCCTTGATAATGGCACAAGAAAGTCCATTTTGTTTGCCTGTACTTATTTGTTTGGGGTGAAAGTCATATCGATGTTTCAAAAGCAGGTTCAAGTTAAGATGTAGGTTGCATTTTATGGGCACATGAACACTTGCAAACTAGTGTTCTAGAGACTGAACCTTACATTCAAATTTTGGAAGCTAAAGTGTTGTGTGGTTATCAAGAATTTGTAATCAAAATTCTGTAATTGGTGTATTAAGGCATGCCTAGATACTTTCATTTCACCTTCGATCCAAAGAAACTTGTACATGTTCTCTAGATTAAGGATGGTTAATCACTTAGAAACAATTGAAACAAGGATTATGGCATTGACTTTAAAGCATTTACAATACACTAGAATCACCATTTTCATTCTCACTAACCTTGTTAAAATTCATGAACAAATATAAATATATATATATATATATATATATAGGAGCGATCAAATAAAAACCACTTTCATTTGTGTAAACTATGTAAACCAATCTCATCCATCCATTTTCTTGATCAATGGTCAAGATTAGTTTAGGTTACATTAGGAAATTAAAATAAATAAATAAATAAAAATTTATTTTATAATCCCTATAAGGGTAAAATGGTAACTTTAGTAGTGGTTTTATTAATGACAACCATATCATGTTATATCATTAAAATAGATTCAAAATATAAATAAAACACATCATAATCAATTCTACATAATGAATCCTTTTGAATAGAAATTAAAAAAAAATTGTATTACATTACATGAACGAAATGGTTTCACAGTTTCATCAATATACTAATCAACATAATCCTGATCAAATTTTGTCATTTTCATGTTATTGGTAGATGGATCCGTTTCATTTTGATATTGAAATTGTTTCATTGTTCACTAATTACACAAAATTTTATTAGAAACCATGAAATGGTTTCACTTCCTTCAATCACCCATTTCATCGGCTAGCATAATTTGATTTGTCATTTGTCATTTCACGCTATTGATAATGAAATTGCTTCACTTTTCGCTAATTACACAGACTTTTCTTATCTTTTTTGAAATGGTTTCACTTCCTTCACTTCCTTCACGTACCCATTTCATGATGCACCCAATTCATGCTGCACCCATTTCATCATTTACCCATTTCCTCATGCACCCATTTCATAATCATTTTCACTTACTCCATGCACTAATTTCATCATGTATGAAACCGATTTCGTGAATTGTTTTTGATTATATTACTGATTTCATGGATTTATTAATCTAATAGCTTACGATGTTCATAAATCTTGGCAGTAATAAACCGAGACACAATATAAGAAAATCCAATTTTTAATATTGTAATTTAATTAAATATTTAAATGTTACCATTTATAAAATTTTCTTTATTATGTTACCTTAATTAAGATTTATTAATAACTTCCATATTTAATAGAAAACAATGCAAATGATCAATATACTTTTAATGATTAAATTTAATTAAAAACAAATGGAATTTTCCTATTGGTCGAAATTAGTTTACACGGTTTTCATTTAAACGTGCCTCTATTAATATATATATATATATATATATATTATGAAATTTGAATTTTTTTCTTCTTAAAAATGCATTGATTATCCTATCAATTATAACATCAATTAATTATCTTAAATTAGCGGCTTAAGATGAATTTCATCAAAGCAACGGACTGACCGAATAACTTCAAATCCAACTTAAAATCATGATGAAAGTTATTGGTTGTCCACTACTTGAGACTTATAAGGAGCTAAAAATTCTCACATTCTATCCATGTGAGAGGAATTGTTACAAACTCCCCACTTAAACTTTTGACGTCCTCGTCAAGCCTGCCAAAATCTTCCTACTTGTCATCAGCAATGTGAGATTCGCCTAAGTTGTTACAAACACCCCTTCTCGAGGACTCATCATACCCGATGAGGTTTGTCCCACCAACCCGATGGTACAAGGATTGGATCTGATACCATTTGTAACACCCCCAATTCCCAAAGCAACGTACTGACCCAATAACTTAAAATCTAACTTAAAATCATGGTGAAAATTATTGGTAGTTCACTATTTGAGACTTATAAGAAGCTAACAATTCTCACATTCTATCCAGAAGAATTTAAACAAGAACAAGGCCAACATAACTAAACACGAAAACGACAAAATTACATGTGATTTTACACTGAAATAAAAAACGATCATTACTTTTTTTTAGTGATAATTTTTGTGGTATTTTGTTTTCACTGAATTTTAGGATATGATTAGAACAAAAACCATAAAATAATGTTAACTTTTTCTTAATTTTAATGTTTTTATTGGTACTATTATTGGAGTTGGCCTTAATTTCATTATAAGATAATCAACGTTCTTACATTAATTTTAATTTATTATTTGATTATTATAATTAAAAATAAATAAAAAATATAATTATTTTGTCCAAACACATAAAATCAATGTACATGAAACAAAATACAGATTTGTCTTCAAATTTTATGCCCTTTCATTGTTCTAACAATCAACCCAACCCATGACACTTAATTTCTTTATTTAATTTATCGTTTTATCCTTTATTTAATAAAATAATGTTATGTCGGAGATCGGTTTATAGAAGTAGAGTTGCAAAAAACCCGAAGTATCCAATCCGAAGTCGCCCGATGTATAACAGAGTTGTAACGTCATCAAATCTCATGTACTCGGTTGGAATTAGGCTACACCCATATCATTCCGATACCCCTCTTATATGTTATACATATCTACGACTGCTGTGCTTGTTGTTAGCACATGTGTAATCATGACAGACAATTGGTTAGCTTTTTTCATCAGTTTATCATGATTCCATCCGTAATTTTAGTTTGTATTTGCAAGAACCTTCAACTTTAGTGTTGATGTGAATTTTTTCCCTATATAATATAAACGGTCAATTAACTGGTAGTAATAGTAATAACAATCAATCATTGCTGGAATGCTGTTGTTATGTCACAACTCAACCAACCGACTTTTACAGATTCAATTATGTTTTATTTTTCTATAACGAAAGTAGTTTAAGGGGCTGTTAACTTGCAGCTTAATTAGACTTATTGATCTATCTGGCTTATTCGAACAAACAACTCATTTGAGTTGTTTACTTACGGCTTATTCGCACAAAACATGACTTAATCGCACAGATAGAAATGGTGTGTTGTCCCATTCAGCCACAAAAATGACACCCCTACTCCTTATTTAAAACACTACCTCCTTCCCATATTAGACACCCCATTTTTGGCCTCTTTATGATATTTTGTTTTGATGTTCAAATAATTAATATTGGAGGGTAAATCGGTCATTTATGTTATTCAGACTGTTAATTCAGATAAAAAAAGTAAACAACAACACCCATTTATCCAAACAGACAAATTTATCCAAACATGACTTGATAAAAATTTGGTAAACTTAGGGGCTGTTCACAAAATGCTGATATGAGAAGTGTTTACCGGTAAAATCATATACTATTACTTACTTACGGGGTAAAATTTTAGTCCATCAAAATAGTATCGTACACAACAATTTACCCGGTAAGTACTAACTATGACAAGAGTCATCGCCCTCACTTACCAAGTAAGATTCTCGGTTCTCAATTCTTGTTATATTTATCCAATAAATATTTGGTAAATTACTCGTGATTCAACCAAGTCAACCCATGTATAAACTCTATAAATAGAAGAAAGGGGGAAACAATGGGAAATGAAATCCTTTGCAATAAAAATAAAATCAAAACGTGTAATATGAAATTTAAAAACCGAAAAGGTACAAAAACAGGGTGTCCAGGTTCATCCTCCCATTCCACTTTATATCTTAGGATTCCAACGATTCAACCTTTGTCTCCCCCCTAAACCTGCAATAAAGGAGAGACAAGAGGGAATCCCTTCTCCAATGGCGGCCATGGCGTCCCTTTTCATCAAAACTCCAACCCCGTCTCAACCTTTACCAAAAACCCACCGCATCACTTTCCCTACTATCTCTCGTCTCTCCTATTCTTACAAGCAGAAACCGATTCGTGTCTCTTGTGGCTTAATTGAACCAGATGGAGGCAAGGTCGTTGAGCTTGTGGTTCCTGAATCACACAGGGATGTTAAGAGGAGAGAAGCTATGTCTTTGCCCAAAATCAAGCTGTCTAGAATCGATCTAGAATGGGTTCACGTGCTCAGCGAGGGCTGGGCTAGTCCACTCACCGGGTTCATGAGAGAATCCGAGTTCCTCCAAACTCTTCATTTTAACTCGCTCCGTTTAGGAGACGGGTCTGTCGTCAATATGTCTTTGCCAATCGTCTTGGACATTGATGATTCTCAAAAGAATCGGATATCTGGTTCCGCATCTGTTGCACTTATTGACTCCTCTGATAATCCGGTTGCTCTTTTGAACAAGTAAGATGATCTTCTACATCTTTTTGGCAATTATCCCCCCCCCCCTCTTCCTGGTTGTTCTTATAATATCATCAATTTTATTCCATCGATTCCAGAAAGAAGACCTTGAACCCTTATTTCATAATCGACGACAAACTTTGCTGCTGCATTTTCAAACATTATAACTACTAATACATGAACAAGACTTACGTTGGTAATCTGTTTGAAACTTGGAAGTCTCCCTCCCAATTCCACTTTGGTCTTTGGGTGCTGCTATTTACGTCAACTTGTTAACTTTGGAAATGTTAAAAAGCTATTTTGATGTTGTATGTTAATGGAAAATAGGTGGGATTGGGAAGAAGGGGTGGTGTTGTATGCCTTTGGGGTAAATTATTGATCATGAGCAAAGAGATAATAGATAGATGACACACCAGGGGCACCTTTGGCATTTCACTTATCAGGAAAAAGGTGATGAAATTCATGACATGAATGATTAGAAATAAAAAGAAAATAAAAAGAAAATCAAAAGCAGGACCCCACCAAAGGCAAGGGGCAACCAACAAGAAGTCATTTTTGTGACAGATTGGACTACACACAAGTCTTTTAGCATATCCAAATCTTGATATTTGTGTATCATGCACCTGTATCTCCTAATGCTAATGGAACATTCCATTATTGCAACATTCACATGGATGATTCTAAATGAACCCTCTACTTGCTATGAATTACATCAACATCAAATTTCCTTTTGCATTTTCTTTTACTTTTAGTTAACTTGTGTTCAGTCATGAGTTAAGCTGTCCAACAGCAGTTCTGTTAATTAGTCTTTTAATCTCATGTTCAGAACTGTAGCTGGTTGCTAACATATCTATTTATTACATTCACTTATCTCTTTCCCTATCCTAAAGATGAGGACTTTTGCTATTGGTGGTTAGCATAATCAATGGCAATTCGTCGGCTTATGATTTCAAAATAGCTGTGAAATACTCTATAGGATGCAAGTTGGGAAACCGGAGGATTTAGCAGCAATGAAGCAAGAAAAATACCGACTAGAAGTTGCTTTTTATTCTTGGATTCATATAGTGAAATGATGACGAGAATGCGACAGCTTAAGGATCAAATGACCATTTTGGAATCAGGAACATGTTGCTGAATTAGACAGACCTCTCATTCAAACCCTAAAGGTTTTGACTGTTATATGTGAAATACTAGTATGGGTGCTGAATTAGACAGACCTCTCATTCAAACCCTCTCTCTCTGCACATGTGAGAATTATGCGGGTTTTTTCGCATGTTAACCTTTCCATGTAGTCAACTGTGGGTCAATAAATGTGTAGGACTTCTATCTTGGAATGTGGTTGTCATTTCATATAGATGTCCTATGGTTCTTCCTTTAAATCTCTTAAGTTCTTACTAGACCCTGTTTCCTTATGAGTTCATATCTGTATCATCCAATCAGTATTTACTTTGTATTGCTTTATGTTATGATTGTTTAGTATTGAGATCTACAAGCATAATAAGGAAGAACGGATAGCAAGAACTTGGGGTACTACCGCCCCTGGTCTCCCTTATGTGGAAGAAGCCATAACAGGTGCAGGAGATTGGTTGATTGGAGGTGATCTTGAAGTTATACAACCAATCAAGTACCATGATGGTCTTGATCATTATAGACTGTCCCCTTCAGAATTGCGTGAGGAATTCTCAAAGCGGAATGCTGATGCTGTGTTTGCTTTCCAGCTCAGGAATCCCGTACACAATGGCCATGCTCTGCTGATGACTGACACACGCCGTCGGCTTCTTGAAATGGGTTATAAGAACCCTGTTCTCTTGCTTCATCCACTGGGGGGCTTCACAAAGGCAGATGATGTTCCACTTTCTTGGCGAATGAAGCAGCATCAGAAGGTTTGCAAACCTTCTTTCTTTCTATTTGATCGACCTTGTTATGCCAGAAAAGTTTTAAATTCTCGTTAGACATTGTGATGATAAGCTTCTTTTCATGAATATCAGGTACTTGAAGATGGTGTTCTTGATCCAGAAAATACCGTTGTTTCAATATTTCCTTCTCCGATGCACTATGCTGGCCCAACCGAGGTGCAGTGGCATGCTAAGGCTCGGATCAATGCAGGTGCCAACTTTTACATAGTGGGCCGTGATCCAGCTGGCATGGGTCATCCAGTTGAGAAAAGAGATTTATACGATGCTGACCACGGCAAAAAAGTACTTAGCATGGCACCTGGACTTGAACGGCTAAATATTCTCCCTTTCAAGGTACTTTAGGAAAGAAAATCATGAGTTTTAAGACAACTTAGGTGCACACCTTTCACAATCCGGGGGTCTTTCATGGGACCACCCGCTTTGCTCTTCGGGGTGGAGGTCAGAGTTGCGTACATCTTACCCTTCCCAGACCCCACCTCCGGGTGGGATATAATGGGCTCGTTTGGTTTGGTCTGGTAAGTGAAACTGATCCGAAATGTTTCACTTTATCTTGGGCTTTCAAGCAAATAAATCGCCCTTGATTGTTGTTTCTTATTAATCCATGAAACTGTTTACTATTGCTATTTCAGGTGGCAGCCTATGACAAGACAAAGCAGAAAATGGAATTCTTTGATCCTTCCAGACCTCAAGATTTCCTCTTCATTTCCGGCACCAAGGTATATATAATAAAAATCCGCATAACTTTCACATATTTGAAACTGTTTTGCTGTATAAATCAATTTGATGGTTGGTTGGTGGTACAGATGCGAACCCTTGCAAAGAACAAAGAAAGCCCGCCAGATGGATTCATGTGCCCTGGTGGTTGGGAAGTTTTGGTTCAATATTACGAAAGTTTGGCTGCAAATGACTCTGGTCGAGTCCCTGAACCCATCCCGGCTTGAAAACCAGAATGCTTTCTAAATTGTGTGGATTGTTTTGATAAGAACATGATTTCTACTTTTGCCCAAATAAGTTATTGTGGTGATGACATTGCCTCCATGTATAAAATCATCTACTGCTGCTGGTTGCTCCTCCACATTGTAATATATTCTAGTTGCGCTTTTTAATACAGAAACAGACTTGCAGGTTTTCAGTTTGTCTGCGTTTCTTCATCTCATTTTTCAGTTTGTGTGTATTTCAGCTTTACTCTTTGTGGGAGAGGTCAGATTTATGTACATTTTACCCTTTCCAGACCCGGTTTTTGGTAAAATGGATAGAACTTTGAATCGTTCTACTTTATGTGGTAGATATCAAGTTTTTGTATATCTTACATTTTGCAGACCCCACCTTTAAGTTGGATATACTGGTTTGGTGATACAGGAAGCTTGAAGCTTACCTTTAATGACATAATAGGGGAATTGGGAAGGGAATTATAGGGAGGGAAATTCTATTATTATTCTGATGCCTTTCTACAGGAATATAACTCCTATCTACATCCAGTAAAAACTACAACCAAGAAGTTCAGTTACAACAAACTCTCTAACTCCCTTATCATACTTTACCCCTTCAAAAAGACTTGTCCTTGGGTAAAATCCTTTAACTTGTTTGATGTGGAAGCACTGCTCTAATCACCTTGTTCCATATTCACCATGTTGCAGTATTCGTCATTCCCTCCTTGAATTTCAACAGTAAACACTTGTGGCTCCTCGAATTGACACTTATATTGTCTGTCACAAGGCTTATCTCAGAAATAACATAAGCCTTTTGCAATTTCTCGGTCCTCACATCTGTTGGAATATGTCCTATATTCCTCAAGGTTTTTGGGGGAAACTTTGTGAAAGGGATTGTCATTGTCTTAGCTGAAGGAGTTGGTGATAGAGGTGGTTAAATGTTAGGAAAGGGGTTGGTAAGAAAGGTGGTTGAATATCATCAATTATAGGTACTTCTTAGAGGGGTTTTGATGAGATGTATTTGTTAGGTTCTGTGTTTGAATCAATACAACTCATAGATTCTTCCTGCAATCTGTTATGCAAGTAGTTCACTGATTCAGAGTTTTGGCTACATTGGCCGTAAGTATGAACTTCAACACTATACACACATCAAGCAAGGTTTCAAAAGTAGTGTTTGCAGCAGGGACAACATACATGTTTTTCAACAAGTTGGTCGTTGTTGTGAGCTGTGTTGTGAGAGCAGTGTAATTATGAACTTCATGAATACCTGTTGTCTTTTTAGGTATTATTTCTCTTTAATCTGACCAATGATGGTTATTGTTTGAAATATTTTCCAAAATATCATAGTCGTCATTATAGGTACTAGCTATAAAGGCTCCTCATGTTATATGTGATAACTGGATCTTGGTTATCACTCGAGGTAATAAATACATGATTATCTAATTAATTGATTACGTAATAGCATGATAAATTTGTTTTATTTGATCATGCTAGTGTGTGAAAATTATGTGCATAATGTAGATGCATGTATGAGATTATGTGTATATGTAGAAGTGTATATATATATATATATATATATAT